CCCCAAAACCCCAAAACCCCAAAACCCCAAAACCCCAAAACCCCAGAGTGAGAGGAGATATTGAACAGGATTAATTCTTACAAAATCATTTATCGGTATAGACGGTGCTGTTTGAGCAATCTGATGTTTTAGGAACTTGTTCCTGAGTAAAGACATATGATTTAGCCTCGCTAAGGTTAGTTCTCTTATTCTCAGCAATTGAATTCATTGTTTCGTATATATCGTGAGAGCTGATGAAGGATTGCTCGTTTTCTAATAAGTAGTGGGATGTTGTTTTTGGAATGTCATTTTTGGTAAATTTGAATAAAAGAGGATAATAGTTCTCAATATCTCTACTATTGTCTGGGATTCCTGGAACTTTCAAAGTCATTCCATGTGCCCCATGGTCAGAGAGAATTGTAATATAAGTATCTTCAAGGTATCCTTTATTCATAAAATATTCTAATAAATCTCTGAAATCTTCATCGATCACATTGATAAGTTCTCCCATACCTTCATGTGCCTCACTAAAGTGGGTTCTGAAAAGCTTTCTGTTTTCAGGATATGCCTCCCAAAATTGCTTGAGATACTCAATTTGAACATTATGGATGTTTTGACCATAGATTCAATGTCTCAAAGATGATCCTTTCCCCTCAAACCAAGTAACCTGGCCAACTTGCTTTCTGTCGAAATTGTCATCACAAGATATAGTTCCACCAAAGTGGTCGAATCTGTGGGTTTTCAAGTCTTCATTTCTGATTTCAGAAGCCCTTGTCTCACAAGAATCTTTAAAAAACCCAGTGATGTAGCCGTGTCTCTGGAAGGAATCAAAGATATTTGTTGAGGTATTTTCTACTTCATGAACTGCTCCAAACCATAATGCTGAGTTTGAAAACTGAGTGTTAAAATACACTCCGTGGTATCTGAAGAACTGGTATGCTGAGTACTCGTTTTCTTCATTATCAACATATTGATCAAGCCAAGCTGCTGTCTTAGGCATCTTCCTGTAGAAATGAGCTCTTGAGAGGTTGTCAATATAAAGAATAAGCATATTCTTGTCAATTCTGTCCTTAAAAGTGCCCATTTCTTCCTCCTGCTTACGAGAAGTTTGGTATAATTCTTTCTGTTCTTGAGCTCTAGTTGCATTCGGCTTTACTTCCATGACTATTTTGTGTTCATCTGGGTTAGTCATATCAATATAAAATTCAGTGTTGTTCTTCACTTCCTCTGAAACATTAGGGTCTTCCATATAGAAATAATTTTCAAACACATGCTCTCTGAAGAGATTTTGGTTAATGTGCACTTCAGTTGCATAATCTTCAACTCTAGGGTATCCTATCTTTTTGTACTCTTTCTCGTTTGACTGGAGGGATGGAGGTAGTTTACTGAATTGAAACTTGTTAGGTCTTTTATCTCAAGTGTTTCCAAGTTTGTAAATAGCAAGAGCACCATCTCTGATCGATAATTCGCATTTTGTTGGAATTGGAACAGGTCAATATCCGTCAGTGTTTAAAATTGAACGGGCTCCTAAACCTTTCTCCCAACCATTACAGCTTCCTTCTATTTTTGTGAAGTAAAATGTGAGCCAAAGGAAGAGTGTCACAATAACACATGTCCAGAAAATTTTTGTGTTTTTAGAATGGATAAACTTAAAGAGTCTGTAAACACCGTATACACCAAATGTTACCAATATTATAAAGATAAAGATAACTCTATTGAGACTTCCATGATAGTTAGCAGTCATTCCATTTTTGTAAAAGAAAAGAATAATGAGGTTAACCAGAAGAAAAATGGCCCAAGCTCTATGAAAAACTTTGGTAAGAGATAATATCATGGTGACACCCCAGATTACACCAGCCAGAGCACATTCTCCCAACCATGCAGGGAATGCCTTCCTTAAGGCTACTACTCAATCATTGAAATGGTATTCAAAATCTCAATTTAGTGATGTATTTGAGATCATGTACATTACATTCATGACCAAACAAAGCAATCCTGCTATTATAGGAGATTTATACTTTTCAATAATCTCCCAGATCTTCGATCCCACATGTTTTCTTTCTGGATATTGAAATCCTTGGGAATCATCATCAGTGTTGCTGCTATATATCAAAACTACCGGTTACTTTCTCTCCTGGAAATCTCTATTCTGTGATGGCATTTCTGCAACTTCTATTTCTTGTGCTTTACCAAAATCCTTCAGCTCATCCTCTATGAGCAAAATTATATTGGTTATTAATAAATTTTGTAGAGTATTTAGTTACCTTTACTACTGTCTCTGAGCTTTTGGAAATTATTTTTGATCTCCTCCATATCCATTTTAAATTTACAAGTTTCAAAATATTTTGATGTATATGGGGTTTTGGGGTTTTGGGGTTTTGGGGTTTTGGGGTTTTGGGG